CGGGGCTTGAGGGTTCATTGGGTACGATGAGATGCAGCAAATACGTGGCGGTTATTCTGGTTTGTGGAGGCACGTCCTCCACATTTTTTTTTGGATCAACGCTGAATTTCGCGATCGGTTTCAGGATATTGGATGGATACCGCAATAAATTCCTGATCAAATCAGAACTGCGATGTTTTCTCCAAGATGAGAAGGCACATAAAGAGTTGAAAGCGAATAAGGGCGCAGGAGGGCTAAGTTGTTGCCACTCGTGCAAGAACATCTTCAATGGGGACCCAGACCGTGTGAGAGATAACGCATACATACACCATTATGCATTCGCCGAGCCCCATCAATTCGATCGCCACGACGACTATTCGATGTGGGAGACTGCAGATCGATGATCCCAGCAGAAATTGATTCTCGGCGCTGGCGCGTTCAAGAAGGAAGAAATGATGTTCGGACAAAATTACGACCCAGACAGCCTCCTTTGGGATATCGGCCTCCGCAGATATTTCAAACCGTATTCCAGCTGTTTCTGGGATTGGATGCATACCGTTGTAGCTTCAGGGGGGACAGCGCAGTACAGCGTGGCGTGCTTCTGCCGAGATCTATCCGAGCGCGGGATCTCTCTTCAGCAATTGGACGAATTCCAGACGGTCGCGCTCAGCGGGAATCAGAACCACAGGCTGCCGAACAATTTCTTTTGTAAGAGAGTCAGCATGAAAGAAGGCACGCACGTTAAAGCATTCGCCGCTGAATGTCTCACTGCAGTTTCTGTGCTTGCAATTTTCTGTACAATGGTTTTGCAGCCTAGGCGCATGCTTGTAGACCAGTGCAATATGATGTCGCTTTTGAACGAAATCTGTGATATTTTGACTTCTGGTGATTTGGCAGTTTCGCAGGCCGATGTGCTAGAACGCAAGATCACCGAACACCACCGCGCAATGTTGCGCATCTACGGGCACAATTGTTTGAAGATCAAAACGCACCTGGTGTATCACGTGCCCGAATGTTTCAGACGTTTCCAAATCAATGCGTCGTGCTTCTCGAACGAGAGGAGAAACATATTAGTTAAGACGACGTGCATCCATATCCCAGGGTCACATCACTCCAAGAGTGTGTTAGGCAGGATCCTCATAGATTTAGAAGACGGGCTCTCGCGCGCTCGCCTGCAAGAGAATTGTTTAATATGCCCGATTTATGACGCGATGGAATTGGCCAGCGCCGTCCCTGGCCCGCGCAGGCCGATTCGAGTTCGAATATCGAAATCAATTGCATTTAAAAGGGGCCCCGTCAGACAAGGCATGATCGTCTCGGCGAGCGCCCCCGACGGCAGCATGATTTTTTTTCAGTTCGTTTCAGGTGCCGAGATTACTTACACATCTTTGGAGCCACCCAGCATATATGGCCTGGGAGAATTGCTCGACCGAGTCGGCCCGGATGTTTTTCGTACTTCTGGCACGTTCGCATGGATTTCGCCCAGAGCGTTCATCCGGCAGCACATGCATTGTAAAGACAGCAATTGCGTTCGCCTTGCGATCATCCCTGATTAGGCATTTCGTGGACACAAAAAATAATCGGAGGCTCAGCCCCGCACGTCACCCCAAAAAAACATCGGATGTTCAGCCCCTCCCACCCCCTGTTGTTTAGCAATTCGCAGGCCCTGGTATGTGTATACTTATGCTTGTATATACCAGATACGTACGTATGTGCGCACGCATGCATTATCTTCATTTGCGCAATCATATGCGCACATGTGTATACACATGTATACTTGCAAGCCGCGGGCGCTCATGGTTGAATTTCCACGCATATTGACGAGCGCTAATGGTGTCAGAAATTGCCCCGTGCGGCCAGGTTCCCCTCCCACCAAAAATAAAAGAAAGGTTCTGATCAGGGTCCAGAGGTCGCCGCCAACTTTGCACTTCCGCAGGCCCTGGATTTGCCCGCCCTCGGCCATGGACCTTCAGCCCCTCTCAGCGTGGAGAGGGCGCGCGCTGGGCCTAGGGCGAGCTTGGACAGGATCGGCGCGGATGCACGGTTCGCGGCGTCCGCGTCTCGATTGCCATCCATGCCGCGCCTCCCGCTCGCTCATCCGTAGCTGTTGGCGCCAGCGGTCTCGAGTTTTTTTTGTTGTTGTGCACTTGTCCGCCCGCAGCCTGCGGCAGTCAGGGAGCTGCCATCGCAGCGCCAGGGATGCAGAATTCAGAGCCGCTGGCGGAGCCTGACAATGAGATGGTTCTGCACGGGCCCCCCAGCAGCGGGCCAGTTGCTTACGTGAAAGAGTATCTTCCGAGCGCCACCTTGACGAGCCTGCAATCCAACATGATATGGTCAGCCACTTGGTGCAAAGTATCGATTCGAAACCGTGGCCGTGGAGATGGCAGGATTCTCTTGATTGTGGGCCGAAGCGACAATTTACGTATGGCGTATGCTGTTGCCCATCAGGTCGTGGTTGCGAACGGTTCCGTGAGATTCACGAAGTCGCAGGAGTCGTTGTCGCAGCAGTTCGCCATCGCATCGAGTGTTTTGACAGCCTCGGGCATGGCCACCTTCTACCACATACCGCTGGGCCAGGCCGACCCCCTGTTCCAGTGGGCCCCCGATCACGACGAGCAGGGCTGCACCGAGCCATCGCTGGATGGCGCTGGGCGCTCGGCTGCTTCACAGGAAGGTTGGGCGGGACTTTCCAACGTTCCACATCCATCGGTAGTTTCACGTTTTTTGTTTTGGGTTTCCTCGGCAGCCCCCAGGCCCCGTAGCGCTGCAGTTGTCTCTCCCCACCACCACCGCTCGCCTCCCGAAGGTGGCGGCGCTGCTGCTGATGATGGGCCAGCGCAGGCGCGAGTCGGCATCGGCGAGGCCCGACGCCGTGCGTGGGCGGGGAGGAGGAGGAGGAGGAGGAGGAGGAGGAGGAGAGAGAAGAGGAGAAGGAGGAGGAGGAGGAGAGGGGGGTGTGAAGGGAGAGCGAGGGGAGGAGGGAGGAGGAGCGCCCCCTCCTCCCCCTAACCTCCTCCTTCCTACATCATACCCCCTCTCCTCCTCCTCCTCCTCCTCCTCCTCAGGAGGAGGAGGAGTGAGGAGGAAGGAGGAGGAGGAGGAGGAGGAGAGGAGGAGGGGAGGAGGAGGGCAGGGGAGGTAAAGGGCTGAGGAGGAGGAGGAGGAGGAGGAGGAGGAGGAGGAGTGAGGAGGGGGGATGAGAGGAGAAGGGAGGATGAGAGGAGGAGGGGGGATGAGAGGAGGAGGGAGGAGGGACTCTGACCGCGCCCGCGGCCCCGCCAGGCCAACGGCGACGGCACCGCCGACGACTCCATCGACTGGGCCAGCGCGGCATCGACCCACGGTGGCGCCCCTCCCTTCCCGTTTCGTGTCGTTCCCCCCCCCTTCTGTCGTGCTCTTTAGCCCTTGGGGTTGATTATGCAGAACATAACATGCACGGCAGAACACGCAGGAACACGGCAAAACAGACAGAGCACACAGAAACACGGCAGATCACACATGAGCACGACAGCACACGACACGCGGGAGCATGGCAAAACAAACAGGTACATGATAGAACACACGGGAGCACGGCAGAACACACAGGACACGGCAGAACACGCGGGACGACGACCACTCCACATGGGGTCCGCAAGGCATCCACAAGGGGCCCACGAGGGGGCCCACACGGTGATTACAAGGGATCCACAAGTCCGTAGCATTTGAGGCTCGAGCCGTCTGGGGAAGCGTGGAGGTTGTAGCCCCGTCGACCGACTTGCCCCGCGATCCGAGGATGTCATCGCAGGCCGCGTCCCCCGAGGAGCGCGGACTCACGGCGTCGCCCGCCAGCAGTGCCGCAGCGAGCCGCGGTGACCATATGCTGGAGCTCGCTTTGCCACAGCCGCCCCCACCGCAGCAGCAGCCCGAAGGAGATGCCGACACACTTCCCCGCTGCAGCTACTGTACCAACCCAGTTCGCGCAGAGGATGGTTTCTGCCAGTCGCAAGTCGGCGAGTACGAGCAATGGATCCACCATTGCTGCAACCGCTTGAAGGGCCGCGTCAACAACATCCGCCGTGGCAACGCAGAGAAGTACGAGTTGTTCGGCCAGCTCGACGCAGGGCAGAGGGCTGAGTTCGCTAAAAAAAGCGGGAACCTGTTCGGCGCGGAGCTCGCCTGCGCCATGGAGCAAGAGGTGGAGGCCATCAAGTCAAAGAAGAAATCCGCGCAGTTCAGGGAGGAGGGGAGGTACTGCCCGATTGAGGAGGCCAAGGAACTGCCCCGTTTCAAGACGGACCCCGTGGCGTGGAGCAACCATCTGGCGAACGCTCCGCGCTGGAAGGACCCCTACAATGGCCAGGAGCAGATTTACGTCGCGGAGTTCAAGTTCGTGGGGACCGACACGAGAGAGGAGCAGGAGCACCACAGGCGCACGGCCAGGGCCAACCCCATGGCTGTCGCCAAGGGCAAGGCCAAGGCCGCGCCCAAGCCAAGGACGCAGAAGGAGCCAGCCAATGACAACAAGAGCATCCCCGCCAAGCAGTTGGACAAGATCACCGCCCTGGCCACTGATATCGAGGAGTATTTGGCCGAGCACAACGTACTCATGCTCGTGGCAACTAGCAGCGAGGCGAAGAGGTACGTGCCCGAGGGCCTCCTGGAGAAGAACGACGGCTACGTGGCAGATGCCAAGAAGGAGCTCGACATCCTGAAGGTCTTCATCGAGACGGGCGTCGCGAAGAAGGGCGAGGCTACGGTTGTCTGGCAGCGCGGTCGGAACGCGCTGAAGTTCATCAAGGAGTACGGCGACAAGCTTTCAGGCGTCGACGACGACTACGACTACGACGACGACGACGACGACGACGACGACGACGACGACGACGACGACGACAACGTCGTCGTCGTCGTCGTCGTAGTCGCCCTCGCCGTAGTCGTAGTAGTCGTCCTCCGTTTGATATTTCACAGGCAACCTCGACGAAATCCCAGTGGAGATCAAGAACGATATGTTGAAGCGGAATCCTGCGGCCGCTGGCCTGGAGATGTTCGCGCACCCCGAGGTGGACGCAGTGGACGCAGCGCCCGCAGCGGAGGCAGCAGAGCCAGAGGTGAGTGCTACCGCAGCTGCTGCAGTGCCCGCAGCGGGCGGCATCGCCGAATGCTGCGACGGCAACGAAGCTGTGGCAAAGCGGCGCCGCCTGGCGCTCAAGAGGACGCTGACCGAGGCAGAGAAGCAGACTGACGGGACAGTCGGCAGGGCGAAGGCCAAAGCGAAGGGCAAGGCAGTCGGCAAGGCGAAGGTAAAGGCGGAGGGCAGGTACAAGGGTCAATGAGGTGAGCTGAGAGTAGAGCCGACGCTCGCGAGGTGAGATAGCAGAGGTGAATTGAGAGTAGAGCCGAGGCTCGCTAGGTGAGCTGAGAGTAGAGCGGAGGCTCGCTAGGTGAGATAGCAGCAGGCAGCAGAGCATGATCTTGTGTTTCAAGTAGTTTGCGCTGTCATGTTGCTGATTTGTGATCGGGAGAGGTGTCTCTTCGACGGCGAAGGCTCTGCCCGCCAACACTAGAAGGAAACAACACATGCAGTTTGATTGCTGTTAGTCCCTCGACACCCGATCGATCTGAGGCTATCTGAATGTATGTGGTTGGTATGTGTTCAGATTGATTCAGATAGGCATCATATTGATATCAGATTGGTATCAGATTGATATAATACCCATTCAGATCGATTTCAGATTGATTTCAGATCGACTCGATCTGAAGTCGATCTGAGCTCGATCTGATATCGATCTGAATCGTTATGGCCCCTCCTCCCTCCCGTCTACCATCCTCCTCCCTCCCGTCTGCCCCCTCCTCCCTCCAGTGTCCCACTCTGAGTCATTCCGGCATTTCCTTTCGGGCTTCATTTGCTCGTGGCCCCTGCGAGGGATTGTGCTGGTCAAGATACGCTAACGCGACCAGCAAAATCACTCGCATGAGGTTACGGAAATAAGCATCCAAGGAGCTTCCAAGAAGGCCCCGAGACATCCCAGCTGTGCCCCTCCTCCCTCCCGCCTCACCCCATCTTCCCTCCCGCCCCCTTCCCCTCCTCCTCCCGTTTCGCCCTCTGAGTCATTCCTGCATCCCCTTTCGAGCCTCATTTGTTCGTGGCCCATGCGAGGGTTTTTGCTGGTCACGATACGCTAACGTGACCAGCAAAATCACTCGCAGGGGGTTGCGAAAAGAAGCCTCCAAGAAGCCTCCAAGAAGGCCCCACTACATCGCAGCGGGGCCCTACGTTCCCTTACGCTCCCTACGCTCCCCTACTCTCCTCCGCGTTCCCCGACGCTCCCTCCGCTCCTGGTTTCTAACTGTTTACTTTAAGCCCCTACTCCCCCCCTCCCACGCTTGTCCGCGTTCCCCATGCGCTCCCTCCACTCCTTCCTTCGAATCGTTCCCCTACGCTCTCCCTTCGAATCGACCCCCTCTTCCGCTAAGCTCCCTCCACGTTTCCCGACGGTCACCTACGCTCCTCCACGGTTCCGTGCGCTCTCCCACGTTCCCCTGCGCCCCCCTACGCCCCCTCCACTCCTTCCTTCGAATCGATCCCGCCTCCTTCGCCGCGCCAGGTGGAGAGAGGCTCGACCCCAGCCTGATCCCCGCGCACGACAAGTGGGAGGAGTAGGCAGCGGTAGGCCGCGGGTTGCGCATGGAGGGGGTGAGGAGGAGGAGGAGGAGGAAGAGGAGGAGGAGCAGCAGGAGCAGCAGCAGCAGCAGGAGGGGGAACTGGTGGTGGAGGAGGAGGAGGAACACGAGGAGAGAGGAGGGTGATAGGGGGAGGAGAAGGAGGAGGAGGAGGAGGAGAAGGATGAGGAGGAGTAGGAGGAGGAGGAGGAGGAGGAGGAGGAGGAGTAGGAGGAGGGGAGTGGGGTGGAGGAGGAGGAGGAGGCAGAGGAGCTTGTTCCGTTCTCTTGCTCGCGAATCACGTTGCTGCCGAGACGGCTGCGCCGCCGTCGCCGCTGCCAGTTGAGAACGCGATTCTCTTACAGCTGTGCGGAACTGTGTTCGCTCATAATATATTTTCTCATCCATCCAGCCAGGTGGAGAATGATGATGAGGAGGATGAGGATAGAGGGTTGAATATAAATTGTGAGGGAGTCCCGAGCGGGATAACTTGCGAGGAAGTCTCGAGAGGGAGTTGCGAGCCTTGTACTCGGGGAATCTCGATAACATTTCAAGCTAAAATCTAGGAGACGACGGGAGGGTGCATCTCTAGTTTGTCAGCTTTATTTCTGTGGTTGTAGTTTGCAGATTATGACCGCCGTAGCCCCGCGCAGCCGTGCGAGTGGCAAGATTTGCGTTTCCTCACTTCCTGGTTCTCGGGGAAGGCTCTTCGTCGCCGCGGCTGGACGCAGCTCGAACAACGAATCAGTTTGGACACCAGGTTTCATTCACACCAGAGATAGTTGTTTGCAAGGGTGCGGGTGCGGTGGCGGAGGGGGCGGGGGCTTCGGAAGGCAAAAAAAACATGTGCGCTGCCTTTCGAAAGTGACCCCCTAGCGCAATCCCTCGCCCCAGAAGGATGTAGTGGCGGAAGGGGTGGTGGGCCCACGAGCGAACGTCAGTATTTCTTGCCGCTGCCCAGCGCAGTTTCTGACCACCGTATCCCCGCCCCTCTCGCATATATTTGGCTCGAGTTCATTCTGATTGACAAACCCTGTGAACAAGCGCCCGCATAGCACTTCCACTAGGTTATGGCTCTAGAAGCCGTGGTGCGAGTTCTCGAACACATGTGCGTGTGCAAGGAATCCTTGGGAGAGGCCGACAGCGTCAAGGGCATGGCCATGATCCGCGAGAGCTTGGCGACGATCCCTGGATGGAGCTTGGACGACGCAACCTCGATGTTGAAGGCCTTGCGCACCAGCGAGTTCGATGGCGCTCAGCGTTGCGCCCTGGGTGAAATCATTAACTCCAAGATCACTGGCAAGCTCTCGCAGATGACAGGGAACGTTGTCAATGCGCATGACGTTGGCAAGAAGCAGATTGAGCGCCAGAGCTGTCTGAAATTCTACAAGTACCTGAGTAAGGAGGACTGGGATATCATTCGCGACCCGTCGGCGCCTTGGGACACCATCAAGGTTGTCATCTGCAACCGCTTCTTGCTGCTGGGGTTGTCCAACCCGAACGAGGGCACGTTCATCGCCGCGTGGTCGGCTGTCGTCGTGGCGCGCACAACACCAGGCCAGCCGATCTACGCCGACGCGACCGAAGCCCTGAAGAAGAAGGAGGATATGCACAGCCACCTGGAGAAGATCAGGGGCAAGATGCGCCTGCACTACCACGGGCAGCTCAAGGATTACCCTGACAACCCCGAGATGTTGGAGCACCAGCTTCCCGACGCTTTCGCGGCGTTCGCGTCGCGGCCTCCAGTGGCGTGCCCAGTGGTTGAAGATTCGATTGAGATGCTCCGCGTACGCCTCCCGTGCAGGAACTCGAATTCATTGGTGAGGCACATGGCCCCTCCCCCACGCAGGCAGAGACCCAGGGCCCTGCGTGAC